CTCACACACACACACACACACACACACACAATCTTTTTTTCAAATTTCTTTGTGTGATTCACCCACAAAATTAATCACAACCTGGTTGACATAAGTTTCTTGTTTTTATGTTCTCTATTAATTATATCATGAAAGTGTTTTCTCAGACTTTTGGCAACACTGAGAAAGTCTGTGTTTGTGTTGCACTGCTTTAACATCAGTGAAGTAAAAAGTCCAAATGTGATTTTGATGCATTTCAGTGCAGATTGCAGTTGAGAAAGTGCACGCTTTTGTATTCTTACAGCAGTCCAGAGAGTCTGCAGACAGAACACTGTGTGCTTGAGCTCTAAAAGATATAAACAATAAAACAGGCACATGTGCTGTGATCTGCAGCAGGACTGAATCACATCACACAGCCGCAGTCTGACTCAGAGACACCTGCATGCTCACAACCAGAACAACATGTACAGGTACAAGAAACATATCCACCAGTTACCTCAAAGGAAAATCGGAAATGCTTTTTTGGGGGATTTGGTGAAGTATTTTACCTGATTATATACAGTTGCTGCTGTATTTACCATGAAAGGTCTATAATGTCACATCTACTTGGGATTTAAAATCCTATACATGCTACATCTGTAAATATATCTATAATTTTCTATACTATACTTATCCTATAATATACATCTGTAAATATATCTATAATTTTTAATATAAATAACGTAAATTTATTTATTTTATCAGAAACAAAAATATTTTTAAATACATTTTTACCGTATTTTACATTAAAATTGTATGTATTGTTTCCTATACATATTATATATATATATATATATATTCTATACATATTACATATGATAAGATTACATGATAATGATAAAGAGGTTTTTGTTCATTTTTTACATTATCTATTTTTATCTAAAATCCTATACATATCTGTAAGTATCTGCAATTTAAAAAATAAAAAATACATGTATTTATAATTACATGATTTTTAATGCATAAAACTTTCTAGACTATGTGTAAGGTTGTCATATATATACATATATATATACATCCCGCACATTTGAACAATTACCATTTTACTTCTTAGTATTTTATACAGTAGTCCTATAGAACATAACTGAATATATAATATATATTATTGTATATGTAAATATCTGTAAATTATCATTTTTAAAATAAATAAATTTACAGAATATATTTATATTAGAACGTATTATATTCTATACTGTATATATATATATATATATATATATATATACACACACATACCCTGATAGCACAAGTAGACCATGGAGACATCTATTTGACATCTGCAAGACATATTTTTTTGGAGTGTTTACTCATCTGCAATACGTCTATAGGACGTTTCCTATCAGATGTCAAATAGATGTCTATTAGATGTCTTCAAGATGTTTATGATATAGAATGTATGTAAAACTGACATCTTAAAGACGTCTTGCAGATGTTTGTACACAGCAGATGCTTTCCAGATCAAGCGATCTTTATATATATATATATATATATATATATGTATGTATGTATAATGTTGTTTTCTAAATATATTTGTAGTATATGATCAGGTAAATGTAGCCCCAAAACATAATCGTATATATAATTAAATATTATAATGTTATTATATAGACTTACTTAGGTTATAAAATCCTATACATATCTGTGAATAAAATAAAATAAATCTATTTATAATTACATGATTTTTATTTTTTTTTACTGGTAAAAGTTAACCAGTTAACAAGTTTTTATGATGTCGTTTTTATATTCTTTTTCTAATAAAATGAAAGACATCTTGAGATGAGGCAAGCCGGCAGGTTGGCAGACGGCAGCGTCTCATCCAAATTAAAAACTCTTTCCATTGCAAAAGCACTTTGAGGAAAGACACAGGGCTTATGTTGTGAAATCTTCCAGACATAAATCTTGGGCTTGCACTGATATTGCCCAGGGGGCAAGTGGGTGGGAGGAGATGGGGCAGATTTCAACAGAGCAGTGAAGGTGAGGTCCTCTCCCCTGAACAAGCTCCAGACAGCCCTGCCAGCCGAGGGACTGGAGCCCGTCACGTAGCGCTGGAGAACTGGACACCTCCCAACATCTGAAGCACGGGCTTGCTTATTAACTCTCTATGTACAGCAGTACAAGTATTTGGATATTTATATAAACATACTTTATAAAACATGCTGATCATTCTATGTATCACTTCTCACACAGTAAAAATGTGTCTTTGTACAAGAATTGTACACTGCAATAATTTTTGGAATAGAAACCATTTCACACCGAAATTGCTATTAAATTTCACAATTAAAGGAATAGTTCACCCAAAAATGAAAATTGGCTGAAAATGTGCTCACTCTCAGGGCA